TTTGGCAGCTTCCCTAGTATTAAACGCCCCCCAGAGGGAAAAGAGAAGAGGGGGTGTTAGAAGTTTTTTGGGGGGGGGGGGGGGGGAACAATATGCATTATGGCCTAGGTGAAAATGGTCAATTCAAAGATTTTCAAACTGACCAAATACAGAGAAGTTCTTGTAACATATTCACTGCTCATTACGCACGCAGGAAGGCAGATTGGAATTTGACACAAGTTACGGGGACTTCAAACGGATTCATTTTTTAAATAATTAATTCCTTAATAGACCTTGGGGGGTACGCTTGACCTGCCTTGACTGTAAGTTCATCTCTATGCTATCCTCCCATATTTAACACATTGTAGCATAGTATGAAATGTCTGTTAAGCTACTTGGATTCTGGAAAACTCGAAAGGGTACAGGAGAGGGGTCTGAGGGTATCGTAATAGTAATTCATCATATGAGACTCTAGTGAAGGGCTGAGGTAACTTGGCTGAATAGAAGACTGCGATACATAGCAATATTAACGTCCAAAGTATAGTAAGGCTTTTGTCCGAATTATATAATTAGATTATTTTTTTCCACCAAATACCAACATTAAATACAATTTAAGAATTAAGAATTGTTTTATAATTTGGGACACTGTGAGCAAGACATTGGTAAGACGTTGGAAACATTACATTCTAAAGTAGTGGTGAAAATTGCGTCTTGTGTAATTCTTAGTTTTACTTTTATAATTGGGTATATTTATATAATACACTGTATTGAATTTTATAACATAGGGTTCTGTACAAGTGATTAAGAGCCGATTCCCAATCTACCTATTAGCATGTTACAGTGAAAACAGGAACTAATGTTTTGAACAGAAATTGATAAGACGACCACAACTTTACCGTTTGATTAGGAAAGATTAAATTTGAGATTTCGCCAATTGGCTGTTGGTTCCAATTAAAATAAACTCAGCGTTATCGTTTTTGTCCATCAGTTACGGATTTCATAATTATATGCGACGAAACACAGCGCGTAAGATACACTGGGTAGACTACATTTGACGCCGATTTATTCGGATATGTTGTAGTTAATTTTATATCTCAGTTAATTTTTATTTTTCCATTGTTTTTGGGTATGGTAATGTATGCTAATGAATTTAAAACCAAGGAAAAGCAAAAATTGACTGAAATAAAAAAAATTGACTGCAAGAGATACATTACGCGCGCTCTCGCGATGCACATGACACATAAATAAAAAATAGATGCCATAAATTGTGCATCAAACTTAAAACATAACTGTGAACGGTTACAAATTATATTAAATGCGACACCATGATCCGTCTTCAGAAATTGACGTTATTCTACCAATCGCCGTACAGTTCTATGCCGCGAGTAAGACCTTTAATTTTCCTTCCCTTCAAGTTAGCCTAAAGAGGCTGTTACATGAAATTGTCTTAAATAGGTTCCTATTTCTTCTGAAAGAAGATGAGAGAATATACTGCTATTCAGCCTATTCCTCACAAACAATCTACATACCAGATATTAATGTTAAAAAAATTAAGAAAAGGTGAAGCACGGATCACATGAGCTTAAAATAAGTACTCCTTCAGAGTGCAAACTATGTTAGAAAATGAAAAAAAAATTAATAAAACCTTGTATAAAAGAAGTCCAGCTGGCACGTTTTAACCCAACAACCTTTTTTAAAAAAACTTTTCTTACTTTCGGAATAGTACTGAAGCTAAACCGAACATATTTTTGGTCCTCAACTTATACTCATTATTAGGTTTGTTTATTGTGCTCGTGGCCCGACGAATGAGTACTCTCTGTGTATGAAAGAATCTGAAAGCATCTTGCCTTATCGCCGTCAAAACAAACTACTAGCCTCTTTCCATCTTTGCACAAGACGATT